GCCATTTGTGCCCAGCTTGGGGTTGCCAGGTGGGTGCTACAAAGTGATCTGCCTTTGGCTGTTGCTAGTACTGGACTTGGGAATGCTTGGGAAAGGTTATGCCATGAACTGAGCCCAGCTGTCACTGGTGCTGAGTTTGAGACCCTTTGATTGTTACCCAATGTGCTGCTACTTCTGCTGGGGTTGTGACCTTTAACAGTTGAAGTTCCATTCCAAGCCAACACTGACTGCAACTTATGCCAAGCTTGGGGCCCCCTGATGGGAGTTACAACGCAAGTTGAGACTGGTCACTGTTTGTGTCAGGCCTGGGACTATTTATCAATAGGTGCAGGTCATGCCATGGACAGATGTTGCCTTTTGGGATTTTGTGGACCTTTGATAGATTTTTGGAAAGTCTACAGAGTGACCCAGGGCAGGCCACTAGTATAAAAAAGCCACTGGGGATGGGGTAAGGCCAGCCACTTAACTTTGGTGGGGCAGTGTCTCAGGGCATCGCCAGGATGCAGTGAACAGTATTAGCAATGTTAATTGAGAGCTCAGATTTGGCACCTACTTGAGTCTACTGGCTGCATAGGGGAGGGCTCAACAAAGGAGCAATTGCACCTGCTAGTGCTTCTGTTCCTGGAGAGAGCTATCCTGACCCCTGTCCCTCAGCCCTCACCCTGAAGCAAGTAAATTCAGTTCTTTCCCATTTAACCCTGGCTCTTGTCAAGCTCATGCCCCTGTACTGGAGTCCAGTGTGAGTGATTTTGTGAGACAGATTTTAAGGGCCACGTGCAGGCCCTTAAAGAGGAACAACTTTTCCTTTAGAATCAAGAGGATTCTGGCAGCCTTCCTTCTAACCCAGATGCAATCCACACTCGTTTTCACAGCCAGATGTTATGGGGACTCCTTAGCACTGGTGTCCCAGGCTGGGGATTCAGGGGTGGGACAGGATCCCTCACTCCTCACAGGAAACCTCCACAGCTGAAATATCCCTTCTGATTTTAATCATCTCACTGTGAGTGTGAGACCTGCCAGTTTCTCATTTACCTCCCCTCCTATCAGTCTCATCTTAGCTTCTTCTTTATACCCTTAGTTATAGGACTCTGTTCAGGTACTCTTCAGTTGGTTTTCAATGGTGCTTGTTTATAATTTAGTTGTGATTTTAATGACATCATGGGAGGAGGCAGGCACAGTATTTACATACTCCACCATTTTGACCAGATATATTGATCTTTTTCCTTTTGATCTGTTTGTTTTCTTTAGTGCTTTGTTTGGATTCTTTTCTCTTTATTATTTGTGTATTACAGTAGGTTCATCTTGTTTGGAATTCTGTGCTTCATGGGCCTGGGTGTCTGTTTCTTTCCCCAGAGTAGCAAAGTTTATATCTTCAAATATACTCCCCTTCCCCCTTTTTCACTCTTATTCTGAAATTTCTATTATACCAATATTACAGTGCTTGATATCTCTCCAAAACTGATGACTATACTGCTTTTAAAATTATATTTTCATTTTGATGTTCTGGCTAGGTGATTTCCACTATTTTCTTTTCTAGGTTGGTAATTTATTCTTTTGTATTAACTAATGTGCTATTGATTCCTTTTAATGCTTTTCTTCATTTCAGATATTGTATTATTCCTTTCTAATTGGTTTTGTATTAGATTTTCTAACTACCTTGTAAAGTTCTCTCTGAATCCCTCTATTCTATTCTCTATTTGACTGAGCATCGTTATGACCATTTCTTTGAGTTCTTTAACAGGTAAATTACTTATCTCTGTTTCATTAGGGTTTTTCTCCAAAATTTTTTCTCATTCCTTCATTTGGGTCATATTCTTCTTTCTTCCCATTTTGTTTGGCTTTGTTTATTCCTTTGAGTTAGATGGAACGGCTGTCTCTACCAATCTTGAAAAAGTGGTTTCTGTATAGACTGTGTGCCGGATGATATAAATAGTCAGGGAGGGTGTGTGCAGTACTAGTGTGCTGCCTGGACAGAAAGAGTGGCTTCCTGATGGAGCAGTTTGGTGTACACAGGTGTGCGGTAACTCCCTGTTGTTTTGGCTGCCCATGGCCAGAAAGGAGTCTGGGCAGGGCAGCCTATTGTGTGCATGTTCTCTTGCACTTCTGATTTGGGGTGTGCTGTCTAGTGTGTGTGCAGCATGCTCTATTGCTTTAAATACTTGTTATGCAAGCTCAGTCTAAGTAACATGTACCACAACACTTTGCAAGTTCTGCACTTTCTCCAGGAAGGACAGTCCTATGTGCTTATGCAGTGATGCCCCATCAATGTTCTATACCCGTTCTAAGTGGGGTAGCCCTGCATCCACTCATAGAAGCATGCCTCTAGTCGTATATTTTCTCTTATTTGGGCAGCCTTGTGTGCATACACCATAGCACTTTGCTAGTTCTACACCTGCTCTGGGTGGGGCAAACCCACCTGCATGGGGGCACTAGAACATTTTGCTAGTTTCACATGCTCTCCAGTGGAAGAGCCCTGCTTGCACATTCCAGTGGATGCACAAAGCAGCAATCTGCCATACCTGCTGTATCAACCTCAGAGGTTTCCTTGGAACTACGAAGTTTTGTTATTCTATGATGTAAAGATTTGCTGATCAGAATTTAGAGGTTTAGGGAAGTCAGCTCCTTGGAGCCTAACCTGTGTTACAAGATGACCAGTGAAAGAGCCCAAGAAAGATTGCAATTGAGATGTTTCTTAAAATGAAAAGTATACGGTTAAAATAGAATGTGATATTACTTTGAGAGCCAAATTGATAGAATATAATGTAAAAATGGATTTTTGAGAACTTGTCCAACCTCTTCAATTGTAAAAAATAATTTTAAATTGTTTCATTTTTTAATATATGATTTCATCAATCATGGGCAAAAAGTAAAAAGAAAGTAGTTTCTGATTACAGAATAATGAACTTGGCTTACAATGTGTCTGAAACTTGAAGAGACACCTGGAGACAGAGGATAATACAATGAAAAGCATATGAAATCACTTTTGTATCAGACAGCTCTAAGTTTGGTCCTACTTATTCTTTGTGACTATGAGAAACTAATTTCATCTCTTTTAATTTCAATTTTCTCATCTGTAGAGGAGCCTACTAATACATATCTATCTTCCTCAAAGGGTTATAAAGACCATTAAATAATATAACATCCAATCAAACTGCCAAGCACAATCCCAGAACGCAATAGACACTCAATGGAACTGGGTTAAACTTCCTCCAAATAGGGACAATGAAGATATGCTTTTCTGAAAGCTAAAAAACAATTCATGAAAAGGCTGTACAATATCTATTATAATAAAACAAAACTGTAGAAATATAACCAGGTTATATTATTCAAGAGTTAAACTTAAAGCTAAATTTTCATAAAATTTATTGTTTAAAGCAAATTTCAGGATATACATTCAAGGCATTAAAGAATCAGTCTCTTATTAAAATATATGATGTTAATTATCAAGAGAAGACTTATAAGAAATGTGCTTTCAAATCTCAAGCTTTTCTGAGCCTCTATGGAGCCTACTAGTGGAGACATGGAAGATCTCTTTATGGCCTTGTAAGGATTTGATTTTTACATCTGTCTTGACACTTTAAAACTTTGTTTAGAAAATCTGTGATTTCTCATGTAAAATTCCAGTGAACCCAGTAACTCTAGCTGTAGAAATCCCCTGACTCTACAGGTGAGCAAAAACAGCCTTTTGTTATTCTCTATCCCACTACTATTTTACTTACTGAGCTCATACTTGTGCTGGGTGTAGAGAATATAAACATTTTAGATATGTTCTTTGGGTTCTTGTCATGCATTTGGAAAGGTAGACTATGCATACAAGTGAGTAAATATATAAATGAATGTAGGCTAACTACCAAGTAAATGGTTCAGATACTACTGTGTACAAGCTTGTACACTGGGGGCATCTAAATAAAGGAAGTGGCATAACGGAAAGCAGCAGAAGCCAACAGAGATATCAGTGTTCTAGTCACAGGACACCAGGGGCAGAGGCAGTGGGAAGCACTCCAAAAGGGGGTGCTCTGCTAGAGTAGACAACTAGAGAATACTTTTGAACAAAAAATAAGTCATCCTCTGGGTACTCCCAGAAAAAAGTTAGGGATTTCACAGAGACAGACTTTCTTTAGTCAGAGAAACAAAGTTTAAGGTTTTCATAAGTGATGTGATTCCATTATCTACAAGCTGGTGAGGTATGAAGAAATTTTAGATACTGCACAAACAACATACATGTGTATATGTATTTTATGCAGATATGAACCCTCTTGTATGTGTTAAGACACATGCTTTTAAATATAATATTGATTTACTTACCATAAACATCTTCTCACATTAATAAATATTCACCCAAAACATCACTAGTGTCATTTGCACATCTAATCATAACCTCATTCCCCACTCTTTCTGTGTCAATTTTTAGAATTGTTTATTCCACCATCTTCAGATTTGCATTTGCCAGCATGGTAAATAGTGATAGTATTGACTCTTTTATTTCTGACCTTAATACCCCAACTGGGTATTTTATTTTAATAAAAACCATCAGAAATCAGGAATATATAATTATCTCTAAGAAATCCCATTAGTTAGTAAAAGGAAATATTGTGGTTATGGTTAGAACAATTTTATAAAGTGCCCAAAGGCACAAGGTTTCCAAAATAAGAAATCATTCAATTATTGTTAATACTGGTATATCAGGATTTTATTTATAAGGACACCATGGCTCGCCCTCCTTAAAACTAAAGACAGCAACTTTGAACCAATAGGATGTGGTCTGCATGGTTTAAAATAAACACTGAAACAATGGATATGAGTAAATGGGTCTATGACAATAACTTTAAAATATTTTTATAATTTTAATTAAAATTATCAAGCTGCACTTAAATAATAAAACAAAAATTTGCATGCATGCTGAATGTGTTTTAAAAACACATTACTAAGCCCAGATGTATGGATTTAACTCAAGCATTATGACTTAAAAATGCTATTTGCCTAACCTTAGTAGAACTTACTCTGATAGGAGGTACGGATCCGTTTCGTTAAATCAGGATAAAAGTTAGACAGGCCACGCATGCAAAAGTTGTCTTTGGAACATGCCAGAACACCAGCATCAGCAGCAGGCAGGGGAAAGAGAGAGAAAGAGTCTAAAGTGAAAGGAAGTGATATCATACCAGAATCTAGAACAGCCAAGATGAAGAAATTGCAGCAAGTTTAGGTAATCAAATTAGAAAGAAGATATTAAAAAAATAAATCAATTAGAAAGTAAAATGTGGTAGATGAATGATGAGAATGCTGTAGTAATTTTATTTAATAAAGTATCTTGTAAAAATGGAAGGCATATTTCTTGTGTTTTTCATGTAGTAAACTTATTTGTCTTGCAAATAATATGTATGTTACCTCATAAATATCAAAATGGTTGTTTTTAATTTGCAGTATTAAAAAGAAAGCTTAGGGAGTTTAGTCTGTAATATTTTATTTTTATAACAAAGTAAGTACTTATTTTTACACTAAATACAAAATTTATGACTTTATTACAATTTTTCCTAATTTAAAAATCACCAAAATTCTAAGCTGTTATCATAATTGTTAAGGCTCAACAAGATTAAATAACAGTTATATTACCTGTCACTCCACTGTGTATATGCAGCAGTAACTTAGATACTGTCAGAGAATGCAAGGTTTTCTGATTGAATTGGTGCTTTCAGTATGCAAACAGTGCCTGCTATCTCCTAGCATTTTCATACTCTAGAATCAATGAACTTTCAAAAATCAACCTTCTTTTTCCAAGTCACGAGGGAATCGTATGATACACTCATGCACAATTTCTCTTATTTTGTCTTCCTTTCAAATGCCAGTAGTGGTTGAGGCAGAACCTATAAAATTTGACATTTCCAGTACTCTGAAAATATTGCTAAAAGTTGAGATTCCTAACAAATAAAAAAACAAAAAAATCCAGGTTTTGAAATAGAATTTCTGTGCTCCTGAAAAGGGTCAAAACTAGCATTCTGAAAAGGGCTGAAGTTTTCAAAAGAAAAATAAACAAAAAGATTTCAGTATATCAAGTACTTTTTTTCATTAGAAAAGTAAAATTTTAGTATCACATTCAGATATTAAATTTGGCACATCTGCTATTTAGAACATAACACCTACCATCATCCACTGTTTTTATTTTGAAGTATTCTTGCATGAGTATATTTAGTAAAGTCTTCAATATTCAAATGATTAAAAAATTTTTTTAAAGAACTATCTTCTTAACCAGTGTCACTCCAAAAAATTCAATTAAAAATGGTCTAAAAAGTTTTTAAAACTGTATAGTTTCTGTCCACTGACATAATACTATAAATATATTTCCATCTATGAAGCTTTCAACATAATTTTTTCCCTAACTTTTTTAACTGAATGATGTCAGTGTACTGAAAATATACAGAAGTTTGACAATGTGTAGAAAGTCAACTATATAAATATATTTTGAAATTTTAGTAAAAGTTTGGATGATTTGGCATATCTAACTTTGACATTATGTAGGAAGTATTTGTGTTTAAATCTTAATTAATCATTTTTATTTTTCTTTTATAGTTAAATAAATCAACTTATTGATCCTGTCAAGAAAAAAAGTTATCTTTTATAACATTTTAAATGTTAATTAATAATGCATTTGTTAAAATACTCTTAGAAAGTCATCACACAACAAGGCAAGATGGCAGCTAAAGTATGGAGTTAATTTAAAAAATTAAAAGAAGTAATAACTATGTTTAACTTTTACCTAAATGAATGACTACTTTTAACTTACAAGTTTTAACAATTATATTTTTAAAGGGGCCAGGTATATCTGGCACCCTTAAAATATCTCTGCTAGTATATTAGAAAAAAATTATCCTCTTTAATACAACCATTGAAAGCAGCATTTTCAACTAGAGATCCTGATTTTCATAACATTTTTATATTTAATAGCTTATTTTCTAGGACTTCATCCTAATAAATTTGATATGCTTCCTAATTTTAACATCAACTTGAAGTTTAAACACATTGTTTACTCTTTCCAAGATTCTTACTATGTTTCTGACTGTTTTTACTTGTAAAAACATGACATTGTAAATTATATTCACTTTATATTGCCATGCATTTTAGTAGCATCACAGAAGAAAGAAGAAATATAAAGGTAAGAAAGCAGATGGACTAATCAAGTTTATAATCATCTTGTTTTATCTCCTACCTGCAATGAACTGCTTGTTTTTTCGAGGAGACCGTGGTTGTCGTTGGTATAGGTCACTTGATCTATATAGGTCAATGGTCCCCATGCTTAACAGTACTGTCTTCTGTATAAAATCCACCACAGCCAACCCATTGCAGTTCCCAAATGCAACTCTGAGAGAAAAAAAAATATGCAACTAGAATGTATCAAACCAACCATTATTATTTTTGCCATTGAATTAAAAATAAGATTATTGGAAAGTAATGCTGTAGGGTTGGAGCTGCCAGGCAGTAAGTGGAGCAAATCAAAGGATATTGTGCCTTTACATAGGATCGGTTGACCTTATATAATAGCCATAGTATAATTTTTCACATAAAAATATAATTGATCTCAATATGATTATGAGGACTACCAAAGACAGGAATGACCTGTACTTGCATTTTATCATGTAAGTAGTGATTAGCCATTCTGCTCTTTAACTTTGTCTTACATTTTTGCAGAAGAATCATGTAGCATCTTTTTGCCACACACTGGGAAACAGGTCAAGAAATGCCATACTGTTAAAAACTACAGATGCTTAGACATGTAATTAGGTGCCTTTTTGAAATATAATAATAATTATTAGGCTGCAAATTAGTTATCTTTTTAAATTAAGGATATTTTAAGAGAAAATATTCATATCTCAAGTTTTGGCAAAGTGATAGTTATAAACAGATATAACTTTTATTTACAAAAGATTAAAATATTCTTACTTCTTTGCTCTTTATTTTGTCTCATTTATTAAAAGACAAAGAGCATTAACTAATTTTATAACTAAATCTCCTGAGAAGTTAAAACTGTTCTCCTATGCAGTCATTTTGATCACTTCAACCATTAGGCATACAGTAACTCCATTTTCTCTCAATTTACAGCATGACTTCCAGCTGAACAATTGGAAATCTGTGTTTCTTGCTTCCTACATTAAATATATACTAGTTGTATTAAGGCTGTTTTGCTTATTTTATATAAGTTTCACATTGCTTTATTTCTTAGATTAAATCTGGTTGTCAAATCATCTGCTTATTCTGGATCTAGTCCTTTCCATTCCATTGCATTACCTTCCTTACAACAAATTAAAAGTTCTAGGATACTATTGAATAGATGATTTGCTATTTCACACAGTTTTACATGTTCCAGTAAGACAGATTTTGGAAACTGGAAAAAGTATTATTATAAAGACAAAAGATCCCATATCAATCATTTCATAAGCTATTTGAGAAAAATTAATGAATCTTGCTGGGCCTGTTTAGTTTCTTTATAATAAGAATTATAATACTAGATTTATCTAGTTCATAGGACCTTTGGGAACATCAAATCAGCAATTTGTTAATGTGCTTTGAAAATTTTCAACACAGAATTGATCTCAATATTATAACTAAATGCAATGTTATGTATATTACATATTATAGCAAGTCAATATGTTTATATTTTTATGTTAAAATATAGTTAATTACCTCTGCCTACAGGTATGATAGAGTTCCCAAATGTAGTAATACTGATAGGAAATAAAAAGGCAATTAGAATGTATGATTCCAACCAAAATAATAATAATAATATTTTTTAATCCTTATCTAAGGATATGTTTATTGATTTTAGAGAGAGAGAGAGAGAAACATTGATCAGTTGCTTCCCATAGGTTCTCTGACCAGGAATCAAACCCATTATCTGTTGGTGTGTGAGATGGCACTCTGACCAACTGAGCCCTCCAGCCAGGGCTAAAATAATTATTTTTATTTATGAATAAAAAAATAAAAATACTGGAGTGATGTCAGCATTATGGCAAAGTGAGAAAACCTCTTGGTTTCTCCCTTTGAAGTTATAAGTTGGACAACTAAAATTCAACAAATGATTCCATGCTCAACAATACACACATCTGAGAGATCTGCACATTGAGGCATCTAAAGGTAGGTGTGTTGAAGTAAGCAGGGAAAGGATGGAGACAAAGGCCACAGACACAGTCCTGGATTCACTATGGCCCCACCTGATGCAGCAGCAGTGAAGGGTCAGGGTGAAGCCCTTACCAGCAGCTCAGAGAGGAATAGAGGCAGCATTTTGGCCTGAGTGGCTAACACACATTGTGGCTGAGCCCACTGATAGGGGAGGATATATGGTTAAAAGGTCTGGCAGCCTCAGTCTGGTAGCTTCCATTACCAGAGAAAAAAATGACACATATGCGCAAATGCCACCCCATTCCTGTCACCCATCCAGCTTCAGGTGATACAGTAGCAGTGGAGGCACTGAGTTGCAGCCTGCTCTCACAGCCTGGAAAGGGCTGGAGGGACAGAAACATCATTCCAGCTAGTTGCAGTAGAAGAAACTAAGCTGTATCATGTGAATCCACCCCTCCCTGCCCAACTCTTTCCTCACCCATCATGGCAGCTGAGACACCTCAGACAGTACAGCGCTGACTCCATTAGAAAGAGCAATATAAGAATAATGGATATACCACAAGGAGAGGAAAACAGAGAGCCTATTCAAACAAATAATTGATGAGAACTTCACAAACCACTGAAAAGAGTTGGAACTTTGAATCCAAGAAGCTCATAGAACACCTAATTACCTGAATGCCAAGAGATCTTCTCTAAGATACATTATATAAAAACTGTCAAAAATTAATGATAAAACAATTCTCAAGGCATCCAGGGGTAGGGGGCAGAGGGGACTGTAACCTATAAAGAAAAGCCCAGTGGATTATCATTGAATTTTTCAGCAGAAGCTTTACAAGCTAGAAAAACATGAAATTGAATATGTAAGCATTTAAAGAAAGAAATCAACATCCAAGAATAATATATCCAGCAAAGTTATCCTTTAGATACAAAGGAGAAATAAAGCCTTTTCCAGATGAAAGCTGAGAGAATCTACCACCACAAGACCTTCATTACAAGAAATGTTGAAAGAAGCTATTTTACCTGAAATAAACAAAAACCAAAAACATAAAACTGAATATAATGGCAAAAGAATATAAAACTATATGATAACAGACAGAAGCAGGAAATTGCAACTCTCAGAATAGAGAATTAAACAGTTATAACATAAAGATTAAAGGGAGAAAAAGCATTTTAAAGGTTAAAGGGGGTAAAAGCATTTTTAAAAGATTATATCTTCTGCAATTTGGAAATGAATATACAGCATAAAAAGAGATAATCTGTGACAACAAGAACATAAAAAGGAGTAGAGGAAAAGCAATGAACTTGCATAGGTGACTGGATTTAAGGTGCACTCAGATAAAGAGGGACTATTGTATGTATACAACTACCCATTATGTAGACCTAATGGTAATTGCAAAACAAAAATCTAGAACACACACATATATTAAAAAAACAGAGAACAAAAATCATAGACTACCACCAAACTAAAATAACAGACAAAAACATAGGGAAAAGGAAAACAATGGAGATACAGAGCAAACACACACACACACACACACACACACACACACACGATAAAATGGCTGTATTAAGTCCTCATCTATCAATAGTCACCATAAACCTAAATGGACTGAACTCACTAATAAAAAGGCAGAGAGTAGTGGGATGGATTAAAAGACAAAATCATTTATATGTTGCCTTTAAAACACCACTTCAGCTAAGAGACAAACATAGATTCAAACTGAAAGGGTAGAAAATGGTACTAAAAAAAAATGGCATTTAAGAAGATGGTTGCAAGATGTTGCAGAGTAGGAGGAACTTTCTCACACCTCCTCCCAGAACCAAACAGGAAATAAAACTAAAGAGGGGACAGCCACCCAAAATAGAAAACCGAAGGCTACCTGAAAAAGAGACTTTTATCAAAGAAAAGCCAGAAACCAACTAGAGACCAATAGAAAAAGTGGTACGTGAGAGGGGATGCACTTATGACACATACACAGCTGTGGGAACTTCTCCCTGAGAAGAGAGAAACCTGAACCTCACACTAGGCTCCCAAGCATGCAGCAACAGTGCCGGGCTCAGCTGCCCATGTAGTATCCAGTGGTGAAAGGCCACAGGGTTTGTTTCTGCTGGGGAGACATCCTGCTGAAGACAAAGCCACTATATTTTTTTCTTAAAGGAACCTAAGCACAGGTTTTGAATTTGCAGCCACTCACTTTGGGCTCCAGCAAAGGGAGGGCAGCATGGACATGAGCAAAAGTGGGGAGAGTCTGGAGTGGGAGACATTGGGGAGAGACGTGAGGGAAAGGCTGTAGGGATTTCTGTGCCAGGATATACCTCATTGCTGCAACAGCCATCTTTCCTGAGAAGAGAAAGGCGTCCCCCCAGGAAAAAACAATAACCCTACTCTGTAGGATACTGCTTGCCCCAGCCTGCATCTCTTTCTCTTTGTCTGTTTTGTGTTATCTTGTTTTGTTTTGCTTTTTCCTTCTTTTTTTTCTCCCATCCTGCATTCACTCCTGCTGAGTAGAGAACAACATATGCAGAAGCATGGGTTGTCAGAGACTGGCTTTAGGGCCCAGACATTCCAAACACTTTCCCAGGAACCAGACTGGCAGGTACCCCTCACAGTGGAGACATAGAAACACCCTCCTGGTTTCTGGTTTCCTGCAGACCAAAACTCTGGGCTCTGGAGGCCCTACCCACCAGCCTACCAGGACTGCTCAGCCAAACTCAAGGCAATAATCTGGGACAGACTCAGACAAGTGCCTCAGGAATATACCCACCATCTTCACTGAAGTCTGAAATGCACCTCTCATGGGAGATCCATACCCCTCCCCTGAATCTGCCAGAAAACCTCTCAGAAGTCTGGTCAGCAACTAGTCTGACTCACAGCAGGCTGGCAGGCAGGGGTGGAGCATGTGGTGCACGTTGGGACATTTATTGACCCACTCCTGGACCCAATGCTGATAAAAGCCAGTGTTGCAGCACAGCATGGCCTAACCTGTGTGCAGCCAATCCCAGAGGAAACAGCTACAAATTATGGGTTACTTGTAGCTTCAAACACACTGCTGAGGGCTAGATGTGGGAAGCATCTGACATTGGCTTACACCAGCTTCAGACATCAGAGCTGTATCCAAAGGGAGAACCCAGCAGGCAGGCACTAAACTCTGCTGAGATGAATTCCACTTTGTTCTTTTTCATTATTTTTGTTATTTTTTTCATAGCCTTATTATTATTTTTCTTTTTCTTCTATTTTTGTTGCT